TTGGTTTATATTACCTATATATGTAACTATTTTCAAAATGCTAGGTTTTATGTCAGGCAGAATTTGACGGTGTCTTAAATAGATTTACAGAAATAGTGAGGTGGCCATATCAAAGTTATTCTGTTGTAAATGTACATAGATAACAAAGAGGAAAGCTTAAAAAATGGTTGAAAATTCCTAGAAGTAATCAGAAAGTCAGGAAACTACATTTAACATGAAATCAATTAAAAAGTGAGTACAAGGGAATTACACTGTGCTGCAAAACTAATGTCTAATGAAATAGATATAAATGTTCACATTTTTATAGATTACTCTTTATTTTATTTGTATTGATGTGAAATCTGCAACAAAACTTGAATGCCAGAATAAATATGGATGAGTCCAGGGCACACCTGTAGACCTCCCAGCGTGCCAAGGCCCTGGTGCTACCAGCCCTGACAGCTCTCCCACCTCCCCAACAACATGACACAATGCTGTCTGTCTCTGGAGCAGGTCTAAGAGTGACTTTTGGGCTACACCTGCACATGTAAACAGTCTGGGGATTGTTAATGTGCCCTGAGGCCATCTGCCACAACAGTGTTTCTGTAAGGCTAAAACTCTAATCATTATTAAAATTGTATTAAAACCCTCTTATTCTCCAACACAGGATGGTTGCATCAAACAAAGCACCGGGACTGGTCTTTGGCCTGTGCTGCACCCTGAACTTCACCAGGGCATTTTTTAGAATGCTGACTGGTGAGAGCAAAAAGCACGTCAATAACCAAGCTACCAGATCTGTGTGCTAGCCTTGATTAATGCAGGCATAGCTTTTGTGTCCCGTGGTGACAAGGAAGGTATGGTTCATCATAAAAATAGATGACCCAGAAACTTTTCTGGGTAAGCTGCATCCATGAAACTTCCAGGAAGTGTGAAGGAATAGTGTCTTGCTGCAAGGAGAGAGTAGGTCTCTTTCTTTCCTAGGAAGGAAAGAAAGATCCTGGTATAATTGCAGAATACAACTTAAAATTATTAGGCACACCTCATTCTGCCTGCACAGCCAACTGAAAAATACAGGTTTTCCTATGCACCTCGCCAGCTTTATTTCAGGCAAGCTTTAAAGACAAAACTTCCAGTAATTTCAGTAAGACTTTTGTCTGTGTATGAGATGCAGAGCAGAGCCCTCTCCTGGTAAGCACTGAAGATAATTGAGGACACCCCGGCACTGTGTTTGGCACCATCCACAGCACATATCTATGTGATGAAGTATTGAATGTAGGCACTCAAAATAAAATATTAGAAAAGCTCAGCTATTTGGAGACATGAAACCTTGTGATTGAGGTCAGGTTTGTTTGGATTAAAAAAATAAATAAATAAATACGGAAATCTAAATAACACTTAAATGATGGCATACTTGAAAAATGAAACTGAAAAATAGGTTATATAACATACTTAAAGGCACAGTTGGCACTTCAAGCTCACAATGACTAGCCAGTTGTAACCTGCTTTTGAACCCACAGCTGAACCCTGGATGTCAAATTACTGAAAAGGGTGGGTCACTTTCTTTTTAAACCTGAAATCTGATAACCATAGCAAAAGAACCCCCATTCATTCTTTCTTTTTATGTCTATAAAGCCACGAAGCACCAATAATAACCTTAAGTATACAGATCCACAAACTTAGCCTAATTAACACACTTGTGGATTTCATTCTTGATCCTGAAAATAAGCAGCCATATTTCAAAAACCATGCTTTTGTAAAATAAAATTCACAACAGGTACATAAGCTAGATGCAACATATGGTAGGCACTTCAACAAATCACCATAATGATATGTTGCCAAAATAGTAGCAGTCGGTCACTTGATTATCTTAGAGTGTCTAAGTACAACCCCTTAAAAAGAAAAAAAAGACAACCAACTAAACAACAACAAAACCGATTAGTGAGATGCAATCTAAAAGCATATTGGTTTTGTTACCAAAATGATTTATAAAGATTCTAAACCTTACTGTTTTTAATAACATGTGCAAACATGATTATCTGGAATCATACTATTTATGGCCGTAATCTCAATAGCTTTCACAAGTTAAGGAGGGTTGGGCCTATGGTACTTGCATGGAAGACCTGCAAGGAAATTCCAAGTTACTGTATGAAATGGCATTTGTGCAGGGCAAAATTCTTCTGCTGACTCAGTATTGAACAAGCATGAATCATATATGATCACAAATGCTGTCTTTATATAAGAGGTAAACCCAAGGATATTGAACACTTGCAGTCATTAAACACCCTATGGTACTTTTTGAAAGTGTAGGAGTGTCTGGCCAAATACCAGTCTAGATAATTACATCCTGCCTACTTACATTCCCCTGTAGCTTTAAATGGATAAGGTATTGTTCTTCTATTCTTGTGTAAAAGTGGATCCTACAGCCCTTCCTTGGGTTCTGTTAAGACTATTTCTAGCATGACCTTCTCCACGCAGGGCTCTATATGGTCACACGGAGTCATTTATAAGACCCAATGCACTGCACTAGATTTTGGACTTGGAGCCTACTGAGATCACTTCCATTAAGCACTGGAACTTTCTTCAGCCCAATGACACCAATGTAACCAAAATCATCATCTAATTACTACCCAGAAAAGTCATATTTACAATAAACAACTGCCAAAAATTAGTGTTCATTTATGAGAACAGTTTCTGCAGGACTTCCTTCAGTGCACCTGTCCCAGGACAAAGGCCCATTAATTTTGTATGGGACCCTGCCTGCTCTCAGCAAAATCAATAGCAAAAGAGCAGTGATGTTCAATGACAGCAAGTCTGGGCCCTTTAATGGGAGATTTGCCTTGTGCCAGGTAACAGCAGTACAATTTTCCCACCCCTCCTCAATCTGAAACCGGTTACATCAACAAAAATCATGCGTAATCTTGTTAAGTCACCTGCATCTTACATTTTAAGAGGGGGTGCAACAGATGGTTAAAAGTTTGCTTTAAAGTGGTATGTCTATTAAAACATTAAAACAAGCCAGGCTACTTGGTGACAGTTCTCTATAGAAGGAATTTGCTTCATTGAAGTAAAGTGGAAGGAAACCAGACTTCAGAAAACCTTCATTATCGTGTTCAAGTGCCTCATATTAGAGCGCTGCCATTCACAAAAGTCCTCTCAAAAGGAATGGGCTGTTAGCACGTTTTCCTACAGAAGGAGTCTGTTAGCAAGATGGGTGCTGGTGTGAGTCACAACTGGTACTCTGTAGCAGGGCTGTCGATTACAATTATTTTCTGCAAATCTGAGTTCTTCCCCCTGCCAGTTGCTCTCTAAACTTCCAGTTTCAAAATTCACTTCATTTTTTTTCTGGCTTGTCCTAGACTATGTCAATTTGAAGGCTGGCTTTTGGGGGCTTTTTGAGTTTAAATGTTTTTCTAGCTGTATTTGTGTAGGTCAAAGATTTTTCCAAGTCTGTTCCCTTTCTGAGTGGCGACTCTCCCAAGACAGCAAATACAACGTTTTTATAGACTTGTTTTCATGAAGTTTTAGTCATCTGAAGTCTGAAATTATTTAAGAGAAAGATGACCATTGTCAGTACAATTCACTGGATGCAAATCATAAAATTCAAAGGCAGACAGCTTCAGTAAAGTTATGCTTTGAATAGTATCACTGAATGCAAGACTGAGCAAATGGAAGGCAGGTAGGAAAGAGTCTTCAGGAGTATGCAATTTCCCCCCATTTCATGTGAATCACTGAGCTCAAAACCTGACGTGCTCCTTCTGAAGATCATGGCATTTCTCTGAATGTTGCTGTCATTCTCTCCAGCTATAGGGCCTAACTTCTGATTCATCGTCTGACTTTTTGACTTCATTCCTTTGAAGAGCAAAATTACTTGATAGAAAGAGGGTGATGCAACTGGTTGAACAATAGCCAGCCAATTCACCCAGTGAAACTCAAGAGGAAATACACGGCTGATGGTAAAAGTGTGAAAAGTGACTTGCAGGGATGTTCCTCCCCTTACCCACACCGGGTAGCAAAGAGATCAAACACAACTGTTGAACTTCCAGCAGAAAAGAGCCTTCAGTTTCCCCGCAGGAAGGGACTTTGCCTCCATCCACACTGATGAGTTTAGGAGGAGGGAGACAAACATATCCCGTGGAAGGGTATTATGTGGTGCTCGGTCAGCCTTCACAGAGAACCGACCTTCCCAAGAAGCCAGAACTACTTTACTGCGGTGGTTCCTTGTAGAACAAACAAGAGGGGACAGGTGGGAGAAGTGAACTGCTGGCTTTGGTACCCATACTCAAGTGGGTCAGTGCCCCAGGCCCTTCAGCTCCCTTTCCTTCCTCCGCTCCCACCGCTGCTCCACGGGCACAGTGAAGGTGCGGGGTCAGAGCACGGCAGGACGGGGAAGCCCACGAGCTCTGCAGTGCCTTGCCGAGCCGTGCCGAGCCGTGCCGAGCCGTGCCGTGCCGGGGCGGGCGGCAGCAGCGGGGCAGCCCGGCCGGCGCCTCCCGGCACAAGTGCACGGCAGCGCCTGGGGCTGCGCTCCTCACCCCGCACCTCCCCACTTTCGGGACCGGGCTTTTCGGCAGGGAGGGGGTTACCTTTCCTTAGCAAGGTCCCGTCCCTTGCCAGGGAAACTTTCATTACGTGCCTGTTGCGTGAGAGGCAACTGGTTGCGCCCGCTGAAGTGCGAAGAGTGTTTGGCTTCTCCCGCACCAGCCTCCTCCTCCGTCTCTACCCCCCCCCCCCCCCCGCCTCCCGCCCCGAGTCTCCCCTCCCGTTTTGCTCCGAGTTGCGCTTTATTTGTGTGTGGAGGGGGGGGGGGGGGGGACTTGTAGGGGGGATGTCCTGGTTTTGCCACAGGAACAGTGCAAAAGGGGAACCTCGGCTCAGAGCAGGGACGAGAATAAATAAATAAGGAGCGGCCATAAAATAAAGGTAGCAGCATATCCCGGCGGCTACGAGAAGGTGAGTGTCTCCCTCCCGCCCCTCAGAGGTGCCGGGAGCCGCTTCGCTGTCGCATGTGCCCGTGTCCGGGTGTGAGCGTGTGCTTGCGTTTAGGGCTCATTTAGCATTGTTTTCCGACAAAACAAAACGTTGCCGCGAAACAAGCGCCGTGGGAAGGGGCTGCGGAGCCGGCTCGGGCTGTAGCCCCGGGCACCGGGCGAGCCAAGCTGCAGAAATCCGCCCTCCGGTGCGAGCCGGCTGCCTTCCTCCCCACCCGGCCGGCCTCTCCGCGCCTGCCAGACCCTGCCGCTCTGCCCTGCTCCCCCTTCCACCGCCTGCCACCGTACCGCTCCCGGAGCGGGGCACGGGGGGCGGCGGAGGGCGGCCGGCCCCTACCGGGAGGGAGGGCGGTGCGCGCTCGTCGGCAGCGCCCGGCGCTGAACTCGCCGGCAGCAGGCACGGGGGGTGCCCGAGGGGAGCCACCGGCATCGTTCTCCGTGCCCAAACCCCGAGGGCTGCCGGCCGCTGAGCTGCCTCCCCGGGCTGTCACCGCGGCCGAGGGGAGCAGCCCCCGCAAGGCCAGCGGGACCCCGCGCCCAGCGGTCACCGGCATCTAAAGTTTCAGCCGCGTTTGTGCGAGCGCTGCTCAGTGCCAGGGAGGCGCGCCGCTGCCCTGCCGCTATCCCGCGGGCAGGACTTGGAGCGGGGCGCTCGGGGGGCCGCCGGGACCCAGCAAGTGGCGATGTGAAGTGCCCGCTGCTCGCAACGCTCCCGGGATGCACGCTTCTCCAACCCCGGGGAGCGCCTCGGCTGGCTCGGATCTGAGCACGAAATCGTGCTAGAACAGTAAGAACCCAGTGTTTTCAGTTTTCCGAGGTTTTATTTGCGGGCGTGGGACACCAGAAAAGAATTGCTAAGACTAGAAACTGTATCCGAGGTAAACTAACCAGCGGTTTAGAGCTACAGTGAGGTATGCAAAGCAAGCATCTTCTCTCACCGTGGAGTAAATATTTTTTTTTTTTTTGGTCTGACCTCAGTATTTATTTGTTTATTTTTTGAAGAGTGTACCTCTTGTATTAAAGCTGGGATTCTTTCATTGTTTCATTTCCTTAACGCTCAAAAAGCAGTTTCCTAAACTTACCGTGGGTTTGCCTTTTTCCTGCAAGCATTTCTCAAAAATGCTGCCGAGTTACAAATGTTTGCACACCTACACTATGTATCAGATTGTGAGTAAGTGGAAATACAGATTGACGTTTCTCTCTCTTCTTCCTGTCTGCTTTGACATCTAACATTAGCTGGGCTACTCTTAAACGGTTCTTCCTGTTTTCTTTTGAAATTTTTGGTATTTGTGTTACCAAATGCTCTTCAATCAAGTTTAATAAAACTAAAAGAGGAATATGTTGACTAACCTTTTAGGTACCTTTGTTCAGATAATGCATATGCACCTATAAATAGTTACGTATATATGGCTATACTGGTAGTAAGTTTAGTTGAAGGTTATTCTTGCAGGATTTGTATGTATTACTGGCTTCGCAACACTTTGCAGTAGAAATTTATTCTGCTTCATGGATAATGCTAATGCAACTGATAAATTCTAAACAAGGAAATTAATGACTACAAAACTGGTCAGTTCCCAGATAATGGCAGTTTCCAGTTAAAATGTTTCAAACAAGGCATCTAGAAATCCAGCTATAGATAGTGTCCTGTTGCATATTTTTAGCCTCTGATGCAAGCTTTCAGAGCTACTGTTTAAACTTTATGTGACTTTCATATATTGCGTTCTACTTTTTAGTCCTAGAATTAATCAATGTTAAGCACTGGAACTTGGTATGGGAAATGACCTGGCGGAGTTGCACAATGTTCAATACAATCTTCAAGTGTTAAAATTTAAACTATTTTTTCCTCTATTAAATATGAAAGTTAATTCATAAAGAAGAAAGAAATTCCTGGAGTTTCTGTCAAATGCTGTAGGACGTAACTGTGAAGTTTTTGTGTGTTATCTTTTTCTTTCTTGAAGGTAAGGATTTTATGAACTCGGGGTAAAACAGGTCTCCCTTTTTATAAGGAGAGTTTATTCAGCATACTTCTATATTGCAGCTGCTGATCATATTTCATAGAGCTGTTAAAGCACTTAAAACCTAAAATTAGGTACTGTCTGGTAGTAAATATTTCAAATCACTCCTTGAAGAAATAAATAAAGTGGGCTTTAAAAAGAGACATTTTCAAATCTATCATTGAACAAAAGTAATCTTGCTTTGCTTTTACTCAAAATAATACAATTTCAATCTAAATCACTGTTTTCAACAGTGTGCATTTTTCTTAAGTTTTCTTCATCTCCTACACTTTTCTTGTAATTTTATACTGACTTTATTTGATATCATAGTATGCTACTTTGTTCAAGCTATGTTTACTGTGGCAACACTTATATTAACAGGTATCAAATTAACTTCTAACATACCTGTGCTTCCAGTGAGTATCCTTATGATATCAGGAGCTGAAATGTAAGTTCCTTTGCTTCCTGTTATGAGTGTTCTCATATGGCTTTTAATTGCAGAAGCCGTACACATGCTTGTTTTCTAGATTTAAGATGAATTAATTTACAGATAAGTATTTGTATTTTTTTTTCTTGTTTATTTTGTTTTAATAGAGGTTTTCTATATATCTTTCAGTTGAACGTGGTTTACTTGTGAGTAGTTTACTTATTCATTCTCATTCATTTTTAGTATTGTCAGGATTTGCGAGAAGAATGCAAACACAAGGGTGTCAGACTGAGAGACATCTGTTGAGTTTATCAAGTGTTTTTTAAAGCTTTATGAAATTTCAGCACTAAACCAGGTCTGGTAGCAGAAACACTTGTCTGCCTTAGGTCTTACTTTGTACTTGAGGGTCCAATGTTATTTCTACTGTCTTGACGTATCCATAATCTTCCTGCCATTTTGCTTGAGAAAAGCAGTGTTTATGTTGTGCAAGTGGAAGAAAAGTTTTGATACTTGTCCATCAATTAAGAGGTTTACAAGTAAACTTATAATATGTAGCATTAAGTTAATATGTGATATTTTCTTTTTATATATATATATATATTTAAATATTGTGTAAATGTGTGTTCAACTTAACCTTTCTGTCATTGAAAAGCGCTAATTGATCTTGCTGGCCCTGACATAATAGTATAGTTTGATATTTGAAACCATTCAGCTTTGGCATGGCCCTTTAATCACCCCTGAGATTTCAGGGCAGGGTTCTGCTGAAGGCATAAGCTGCTACTCTTTTTGAAATTAAATAAAAATGTTTATTAAAAATATCTTCTCTTTACTTGCATTTAAAGTTAGTAGATGTTTGACCTATCCATGCGCTACAGTATACATTGAAAACTTTCTGTTCTACTTATATATATTAGGTGACATTTAAGATGTTACTCTACAGAAATCAGACTTTTATGAAACTTTTTTTTTTTTGGCTAAGTCCACACTTCTGTGTTGCACTGTTACTTAATCTGTCATTAAATCAGAAGTGCTTAAAGGAACTTGGATGCACTTTGCAGTGCAAAAGAACTGATATGAAGAGTGCTTATCTGTCAAGTAAAGAATAAAATTTATTTGAAAAGGCAATAAAACTTACATTTTAGTCCACATTGTAGATTGTAATATTGCCAGAAGGATTCCTTTTGGGATGCCTGTATTATGGGACCCTGGTGAAAAATATTTTAAAGTGGTTTCTTCTTAGCATCTCTAAGCCCAAGAAATGTGACGAGTAGGTGGCCCACCTTTTGCTTTAATAGTAAAAAGTAAAATTGCTTTGATGATTGATTACCCTTTATCAAAATGCATTACTGGGCAGTCTCACTCACAGGGCTGTCTATATGCTAGCTGTCAGATTTTTGAGCAAAATGTCAAATGCTAATGGCTGCCTCAGGAAAATTAATGTTTAAGCATTTTATTTTCTATTTGTTTTAAATTTCTTCATCATAACCAAAGTTTATCATGAGAAATGATTATCTTCAGAACTTTCAGAGATTCATATCCCAGTGAGACTAGTATATATTTTGTCTGAAGCTATTAGGCTCAGGTACTGGACTAAATACTGATACAGACTGTTACTAAAATGAATTTTTAAAAGCCAGATTTTGGAGGTTTTCTGTGTCTAAATTCTTGTGAGGGTCTGTGTCTCTTTCCTAGAATAAAATGAATAATTGGCAATTTTTCCTTAAGCAGCTGTCCACAGAAATACAGCACAATGAATAACATGTGTAGGGTTGTTTAATTGTATGTAATTTAAGTGCTGTCTCTGAAGAATAGAGTCTGTCTGGGCTGACTGAATACTGTGTCTCTGTGCTGGGGTTGCCTCCTGGACTATACAATTTGACTGATTTGAAGCAGCAAACTGCAAAAAGACCTCCCATATGCAAATTATTCACTTATAGAAGGCTAACTCTCATATAGGTGATAACTTTTACTTACACATTTAAGTTAATATATACTACGTCTTTTGGTAACATTAAAATTTACTACTATTGCAACGTGACTCAGTGTAAGTTGACATTGTCGGCAGCATAAAGAATTACTACTGCCTTTTTTAAAGGCTGGGTAGACACAGCAAGTATTCTGCTCTTGACACATATGTAATTAAACCACAAAAACCTACATTAAAATACCATGAAGGGTCTGATTTAACCCACAAAAGTAAAAGAAATACAGAGCTGAGTTTGCAACTTTCCAAATAATTCTTCTCTATGACTATGTGTACGTAACTACTGAAATCAATGCTGGTACATGAGGTAATTGGAAACTTAGCTTGATGTTTTGTGCCAGATCCTTTGCTGTTGTAAATTGGAGTAGGAATGTTGAAATTACTGGAGCGGTCTCACATTATGCCAGATGAGTATCTAGTCCTCTATTCTTAGAGCAGTCTGTTATTTTTTGGGGTATTGTAGTATACTTTGTATGTGTGAGATCACATGCGCAGAGTAATCCAGCAATGCTTAGAGAAAAATAGAGGAGGGTTAGGTAAAAAAGTCAAAATCATACATCCGCATTTTGTTTTTATGTTTTTATTCCCCCTTGCCCCCCCCCTCCCCCCCCCAAGCATTTTCATACTCCTGTGTTAGGATGTATCTTTTATTTATTTATTTATTTATTTATTTTTAATGGCACTTTCTAAATGACCATAGAAGTATCTTTTACATTAATTGTATTCCTGAAAGCGATTCTGTTAGAAATGTTGTCAGTTGACTACATTCTTTTAATTCCTTTTAGGCAACTTTGTTGCTCGTGGAAGTGAACAGCCGGATTGCATTTACTCAGGGACATTTCATGAATGCTAAGTCTATTCAACGAAAGGTGTGAAGTCAGTTTAACATGTTAAATCCCACCTGGATGTTCCTTTTTATTTACTGCAGTATATTCCCAGAGAACTGCAGAAAATGAAGGTCACCATGCTCCCACGTGAGAGCAACTAAACAAGACTCAGTATGCTTCAGCTTATGCATACTGACGTCACACTATATGTGAGGTCTTTCTTCCAACTCTCCTGAGTGTCCCAGCACAGACATGGTTTCACAAAAACAGGCATAGCTCAGACAGATTATGCACATTTCCCTTGCCAAGTTCTAGCAGTGCAGCTCAGACTCAGCCTAATGTTCCTGTTCTGGTCTTCTTAATACAGAGAGCTAAGGAGCTGGAAACTAACGGGGCTGAACAGCACAGAGGTTTTACAAACTGAGTAATGGTATTCTGGGAAAGGGTCTCCAAAATAAAATTTTCAGGTTACCCTGAGGCAAGATTTGGAACTGTGGTAGGTTTCCAGAGTGGAAAGATTCAAATGCCTTTCCACTGAGCCATCCCACATGTCTT